TAGATAGATAGATAGATAGATAGATAGATAGATAGATAGATAGATAGATAGATAGATAGATAGATAATAACGATTCCACTCAGTCCTGTAATCTGCTTCATAACTGGTTCGAATATTTTGTGCTCTCATAAGTGGTTAAGTTTGAGAGGCAGACAAATAGTTGAATAGATCTGAAATTGGTCCAGATGCTTTTTTATTGCTTAAAGCTGAATCGATCTCGAAGCCATGGATCCCCCTTCTTGACGATTTTTCATGCATTTCTTCCTCTAAACGGAATAAGTTGGTTAAGTTGGTGAGTATTATGTTTGCATTTATAATAAGTAGCGACAGGACAAATAATCATACTCATCAGAGAGTTCCACATCTTTAGTATACAATGTATCCCCTATTGACCACAGCTCCATTCCTATTTTATTTTAGCCACCGATTCAAAGTAGCTCCTCTTCTACCGTCTAGCCCTTCACCTGGATTAATGGCCAATGTTACTTACTGGCAAGATCTAGCTTGAGTCAGAACTATTTAGTCTCATCTTCAAACTTTCATAATGCATACATTGATGCATTTGTGCCATACATTCCAAAGTGTAATTTCGATATTTACCATAATAGTGAGAACGGTTTCTCGAACGAATTATCTAAAGACCCAAGTTGAAAAAGCTACTATACCAGACAGGTGGACGGTTTCTTTATATAGGCCCCATTTTACCAGCTGGCCAAGTGCGATGGGCTTAAAATTTCATTAATTATTATAACTGTCAGTATTGTGGCCATCTTACAATTTGAGCTAAGTGTTAACCTAATGATGTTCTCCCGAATGCAATGCTCATTTTCTGATTTATACAGGAATCTAATTACTATTAAGAGGGCGTTTATGACAATAAAACAAATACAATTTGATCAAAAAGGTATAAGAGCTCCAAAATTAATTCAAACTGAAAACATGTGAAAGTATTTTACACTGTCGACAATGTCCAACTTACTATCATTAAGAATAAATCATTATTATGAGAAAGAAATAATGTGAAGTTTTCATCTGCGTGTGGCGCAAATAATGATTCAATAAAGAGGATGTGGAGAGAAGAAAATGAATTATATACCTATGGGCGAATAATTAACTATTTTTCATTCAGACACTGACTACCTTCATTCTAGCCTTGAGCTTAATATTCGTCGTCTCATAGAGTTTATTCTCTTTTGAGCCGAAGTTCCGCAGGTTCGTTAAAAAACAGTTGTTTTTTAATTTGAGCTCGCTTACCGAGGATCATTGAAGAATATACCAGGCCTTGAAAGGTGTACCCAATTCTGAACTACAGATGGGTGAATGAAATGGAGTCCGTCTTGTGGAGGCTAGGATACAAGGAACCATAAGAATTCGATAGATACATCCATACATTTGAAACAAAAATCCGCTTAACGTGAATAAGTTGTGTATTAGCACAGTTAATGCAAGTAGGACTAGATATATCACAAGCTGACAAGGTACGAAAATGAAGAATCCTCGAGTTGTCTAACATGTCTTTAAGGCAAGCATTGTGATACGGGAGATCTAGTAAAGGAGAACATTTAACCATCTAGAAGAGGGTTCAATATTCCCTTGAGCACAAGGAGAATGAAAATCCATAAGATGACAGGACTCCATTGATTATGGTGAACAAGGGATATGGGCTACTTCAAAAACTCAAGTAAACCAAATGGATGTTTCTAAAATGTATCGGAGAATCCGCAGAAATTTGCCCAAAAAAACAATATATGGCATCATTAACATACTTTAACTAAGGTGAATTTAAAAAACATCTTCTACAAGAAGATGGTCATTGCCCCTTGGGGAGTGCTGAGTAGTGTAGATGATAGTTCGATGGAGGAGCTGATACCCAATGACTGCTGATACATATGAGTTACCAATTTTTTACAGTGTAAATGGGTATTAAGTGGCCACCGAAAATGTTTTTAGATAACTATTAAGTCAAAATTATATCCTGGCATAAGGGCAGCCAGCTTGTAAAGATGCATATCTTAGACTAGAGCCTAAAGAGGAACATATCGAGAAAACTGGAGAACGCTCCATTTAAGGCATGTTACTGATTCGCACGAGAAAGATCTGGAGGAAGATGATGGATGGGAATTAAATCACTTCAAACGTAATCCCCAATTTCCAGTCTAGCAGTATTCCACTTTTAAAACCAGAGGCCTGCTTATACGACAGTATGGGATTGAGGCCTATAAGATACCATCCAACAGAACTGAGTAAAGGAAGCATGCCGAACGTCAGGTTAATATTTACGCATGAAGGCCGTGAAGGAGTGCATTCACGAGCTCGGTTGAAGAAACAAGCACGAGCAATTCTACTCCATCTAATGTAACATTAAAACTTATGCATGATATGTAGACAGCAAATTCATAGTATTCTGAGCACAAAGACAAAACCGGACATTGAAAATTTTAGAATACAAAGCGGAAGCCGATGAACATAAAATAGGAATGACAAGAAAACTAGCACAAATATAATGTTTAATTAAGCCTGGTGGGATTCACAGAAAATGGTATCGGCAAAAATAAGAGCACATTGTTCACAGCAGCAATTCTTATAGTGTGAACAGAAATTGTATATCTGTTGAGAAATACAGGAAAGTGGATAACCACTTCCGTTTGGGCGATTGTTAAGATCGCGCAAGATGAACTAGGTACTGATGAGGAAGATTCCCATAATAAGTTGATTAAAATCGTGATTCCATTAAGTTTCACTCGACTTTATCTTCCAGAAGTTTTTCTCATCCAGACTGGGCTGTACATTTGACCTCTCTTTGGTCTCATCAACACCCCCAAAGAGATTCAAAATCGAATCGTTAATATCGTGACGATACATTACCACTCAATTGCACAACCACGTATGTCAATTGGTAACAGGGAAGGTATGGCTTCAAAACAATACTGGAATCTCCAAAATAATCTTTAAAGCGGGTTTTTCGATGTGGCAAAGATGTGTTTGCCATTGGAGTCCATGTCGCTACTAATATTATGTGTGAGTTTATGTGAAAATTATGTGTAATTTTTGGACGAGAACGTGGTGAGGCCTAACCATCACATTCTGACTAAAATGCTACTATCTGTCCTTAAATCATCTCGAGCGCGCCATGGTGACTGAGTTTGTATTTAAGAAGTACTTATAGAGAATCTAAATAGTGTCATCAATTGTAATAGCAGATATAGGCTTGACTCATCGACGATCCGACTATAAATGGGATCTAGGAGAAGCACAGCCTGCCATGAAAGTCACATTTGCCCTGTGATCCAGTGGTACCCGTGTCCGTGTATTGGATCGGTGACGCGTCGCCAAGATGGTCACGATCCGAGTTCGAGGCCCGTAAGGTTGTAGTGTTGAGACTGTGCTGCGCTGTCGAGACCGAAGCTCTGTCTAGATAAGAAAATCTTTTTGGAAGGGAAAACCAAATGAAATGCAATGGGATTATGAACCATACAAACCTCATTGTGAGAAATTTTGTTATCATTACTTAAATCAGCTTAAGTGACTTAGCGCGGCCATTGTTACTATTCAAGAAGTATCGAGTTCGTCAAGGGCAGATTATCATCGAAGTAGATACGAAGATAAAGTTGGTTTCGATGAATCTCATGAGATAACATTGTTAGGGGGACCTTCATTTCGAATGAAAGTGCATGAATAAGAGATTCGTTGGTCGATCTCACCAGATAAGGACGGATGAAACTCGTTGTACTGCAGCCGCTCGGCTTTTATATGATATTCACGTTGACAGTGTTAAAATGAGACTCTTACAAGAATGAAACCCAT